ACTTCGAATAAACTCTTGCTGCTCCCACTGACCCTCGCCCCACCTTCTGTTATTCCATGACCGACTTTCATCTCACTCCCGTGTTTGTCCCCTTCCCTCCCAGCTAATGCCAGGAGCTACTCTTTCTTGTCTCTTCTACACAACACCAGCTCCATGAACACGCGATAGGCGCTCTGCATCTGACAGAACAAATCAGAAGCGAGGGGAATTCATGTCGTATGTAGCAAAAGGGAAAGCGAAGGTCATGTTCTTCAGACTTTCAGGGGCAGTGGAAGTAGATGATCCCGGCCATTGGCCCCCAGGACAGAGACCTTTTACAGCCTAGCTCAAACTCCCACTATTCAATTAAGTCAGTGTGTCAGATGGCAGTCACTTGAGTATGCCTCCCTAAGAATATGTCTCATAGACTGAAGTGACAGTTCCAGAAAGAGCAGAACTCACCCACTTCGGGGGGAGGGCACAGCTCAAGTGGTAGAGCACATGCTTAGCATGCATGAGGTCCTGGGTTCAATCCCCAGTACCTCCATTAAAAATAAATTTAAAAACCTAATTACCCCCGCCAAAAAAATAAAATAATACAGAAATAAATAAAACATTAAAAAAAGAACTCACCACTTCACCTCCAGTTGACTTTCTTGTTAGCCTGGGTTAGCAGTCAGCTGTGTGAACACTGAGGAGAGGTGTCTTCCTCCTGGGTAGCCATCGAATCTTGTCTTTGATAAGACAGAGTCATCGAGCAATTCTTTAGAAAAGAGGAAGGCTTGTTGTAACGGGAAAGGATGAGAGTGTTGTGCTGGAGGTAAACCCACTGGAAAGGAAGGCTTTAGACCAGAGAACCGCTCATGAACCAGGCGCTGGGTTCGGAAGGGACCCCGCGCGCCCTGCTGCCCTCTGAATCTGTGCTGTGGTCGCTGACCCTGTCATAACCCAAGCTACTCATCACCAGAAATTACCTTCCGGTAGCCCAGGGTCGCCCATCGTCTGTGATGGGTGGTAACACCGACCTCAGACCAGGATGCCATCCCCTGACTTAGCACCAGCCCTGGAGGCTGATTCCTAATAGTCCAGGAGCCCCGCCCTCCCTGCGCTGCCAGTGGTTCAGTCTTGAAGGCTGCACTGGGGAGGACGAGAAGGGCATCCTCGTTTAGAACAGCCGTTACCCGGGGCGGGGTGCTGACAGCGAAGCCACGACAGTGCCCGGGTCAGAACTACCATCATCTCTTTCACTCTGACACTGCGTCATGTGTGGCAGCGGCAGACTTGACAGTGGTCGTAGGTACCGGGTCTGCTGGCCCCTTTGCTCTTCTCAAGTGACACCAATATGAGGACACATGCAGCCCAAATAACTTATCCTAACAGTTTCCACATAAAAATACAAAAGGCATTCCTATGGTATGTGTTTAAAACTAAAAGTGCCTTTTCACTGTATTTTTTGGTTTAACCTCTGATAACCTCCACCCGGCATTCTGTGTGACCTGTTTGAGCCAGAGAGGACAGCTCCCCGAGCTCTGCCATCCCCCAGGGCGCTGATAACAATGAGGGCAGTCCCTAGCATTTCTACTTTCGGGCTACTTGAATATACATGGAGAGTAAGTGAATTTCTGCAGTGCGTTAGCAGAGTTCAGAGCAGTGACAGGTATACCAGTGGCTACTTCTGATGCTCCCAAACCCGACCCTGTAACGTTCAGGGCTGGGCTTTGGGAACCGACGGTTAAGAGGGGAACGGGCAGTAAGAACTAAAACCAAGAAAGACACGAGAAAGCACAAGATGTGTTCAGGTGACACTGAATCTGCCCCCATCGGATGGACCTGTGTGTTCATAGAGAGGAGTGATGGGAGAAAGAACTAGAAAGATGGAATAAAATGGAATAACTCTAGCTGGAAGTCACTGGAAAGACTGCAGCGGGCCTCAGCCAGAGGCAGGAGAGGCTGGACTTCAGCCAGTAGTCAGAGGGGCCGCTGGAGGTGGGGAGTAACGTGATGAAAGCCGCATGCTGAGACGTTTAGAAGGAATGTGCTGAAAACATAGCAACTTTAAAAAGTGAAACTGGATGTGAGGGAAAACTGGAAATAAGGCGATTGGCCATCCAGTATGTAAATTGCCTTTTATTGTCACGTAACGTTTCTTTCAAGCCACAGCTCCGTTTCTCTGGGATAGAAATGTCCCAGGATGAATCGAGTCAGGAAGCAAAGGAAAGTGGAATGAGTAGAAGGGTGTAAGAGACAGGAAGTCAGGTGGCCCAGTAAACTCTCACGATGGGTAACTTCCGAATCCCAAAATGTGTAATTTTCTCCCTAAAATGCAGTGAACTATGGCTGCATTTGAGCGGCCACACATCGGCGGCAGCCGGTTGACAGGAACACGCGGAGAGGAGTCAGTGGGGCCGTGGGCTGCGCTCACCACCAGGGCCACCCTCACGCACCTGCCTCTGGAACACAAGCTCTTTGCTTACAGCGGAATCCTTGTCGTGGGCAGGGTCCCTTTGAAGTCGGTTTCTGTTTTACTCTTGACTACCTTTTCTCCAAAAGGGGTTTCAAATAAGCCTAGTTCTTTGCCCTTCAAGTCCCACCCAAACTACCCTCTCATCACAACGGAAGGAAACGTTTCTCCAGCCTCATATTAGCATCTCCTCAGTGACCACATCCCGTCTCCTAAGGTCTCTTGCTCGCACACACACACATACGTACACACACACCTGTGTTCTTTATCTCCTTTCGGGAGTCATGTGGCCACCTCAGATGCTTCCCATATTTCAAACGCTATTTGGAGTTTGCTGGAAACACTCCCAGTCACAGAGCTCACCTCCCTGGTCCCTGTGACCTACACATGCTGCTTTGTACTGCTCTTCCTCACTCACCTCCTCTTACACGGGAAACCTTTGGGGAAGCTCTTTAGGACCAGCCAGCTCTGGGAGGAGGAGGCAGAGCCAGCTGTCGTTGACCTTGAGTCCCTGGGGTTATTAAGAAGAGGAAGAAACGACTTCCCAGAGGTCACATTCGACTACAAGTGGCTGCTTTTCTGTGTTCCGAGCCCTGGGTCAGCCAATGGTCCTAACCTGAAATGCATGTTGTAATCGACATTTCAGCCTGTTATAGCTGACATCTGGGTAAGCAGTCCCTAGTGAAACGCCGTATTTAATAACTAATTCTGAAATTTAGAAATTCCTGAATCAAATCCAGTCTTAACCCTGTTTTCCTAACCCTGTTTTCCTAACCCTGTTTTCCTTGTGCTCCACTCTAATCCAATATTGAGAATTGACTGTTTATTTTCAAAGTTGAGAAGTTAACCGACAGACTCCTCATCTTCTCACGTTTTCCATGATTCCTGTTACTCTGAGCATAAACAGAACCAAGCACATCTATAAAAGTTACACCCATCCATCCTGCATTCTATAGACAGTCCCTGAGAAAGCAAAGAAACACGGTTGGCTTCTGACAATTCCCTGACAATTCCCTGACAAGACACAATATCTGACTTACTTGGTAACCAGTATTTACTCCCAAAAGCCAAGGAGTGGAGTGACCCAGCCAGGACTTTTCAGTGTCTTGGTTGGTTCTCAGCTTCTTAAGAAAAGAAGACCCCAAAGTGGGGCAGGAGTCCCCTTTGGCCCGCTTACAAGCCTCTGTCTTCTTTATCCAAACCTCATCTACTCCACCGCCACCACCATCTTTTAAAAAGCTCAAAAGTGGAAAGCCTGCAGCTGTTGGAGAGGAGAATCTGCTGCTCTGAATATTTTCTTTTATCCTCAAAAGAGCTGCTCCAGATGAAAAACTGTGATCCAGCGCGTCACAGTAACCGGGGCGGTGGGTCCTCTGGGCAGGAGCATTGCCCCCCAGCCCCAGGAAGAAATGCAGTAGGTGAGACTCTCAATGGCTTCCATTTCGCTTAGAAGTGGGGTTTGCTGGGTCACCTAGGGTCACGTGACTTTTCTTAACATCTGGTTTTCTCTGGAAAGTGAATCCGGGCTGGGAAACCAGCTAGAGGCCGGGTGTGCAGCCGTTGAGACAGAAAGGTATTGAAGGCAAAGGTGACAAAATAGGTGAGAACACAGTCTAAAAGCAGGCGAGGGTATTTTTGACAAAGTCAGAATTGGCTCTGTTTTTCCCTATGTGTTTAAGGATAGGCTAGCTGAACCAAGTACAAACTGCCCCCTGCTGTCTGACACGGAGAACTACATTAAAATGTTGGCTTCATTAAAAAGAATCCTATTCTGAACGCCTGCCACGGAAGGAAAACAAGCTGGGGTGATGGCAGACTGAGGACGTCACAGGTCACCTGTCTCCTCCCCGGTGTGAAGATAAAGGATGAGAGAGGTGGAGGCAGCCTCACATAAGGACTTTTTTGGATTTGGAGAGCTGCCTCATTGCCCCATCTGCCGCCTGGTTTCTCGAACTGCAGTCGTTGACTGGCAGCATCCGCACCACCCAGTAGCTTGTTAGAACTGCAGAATCTCAGGCTCCACCCTGGGTCTGCTGAGTCAGAACCTGCCTGTAACAAGATCCCCAGGGAATTCATGTGCACGTTTACCTGTGAGAAGCCCTGAACCTGACCTCAGAAGGAGCGTTTACAGTAGAGAAGGTCCACCATTCCCTAAGGTTTGCATCAAATCGAATTCAGTTTGAACAATGAAAAAACCCACCTCCCCCGGAAAACGTAATCCTCTTATTAAGACCATGATTGCTTACGCCCTTATTTTCCTTGTTTCCTACATTCTCAGCGTATCACTGACTTCTCACCGTACTGTCACATTACTTGCACATTTCAGCAGTAATTGCACAAACATCTTCTTTGAAAATCGCTCTGTCCCAGCACATCCGTGGCGGGTTTCGTCTCTGGCAGCCTCGTGTTTCCTATCGTCCTTGTTTGCGCAGGTCTTCTCTCCCCTCCCCCCAGCCCCGCTGGTGTCGCTGTAGGAGTAGCCACTTGACCCTCCAGGAGGGAGCTGGCCCCCGTGCGGTGTCCGTGTGTTGCTAACCCCGAGTGTTCTTTTCTGCGCCAGGTCAGGGAAGAATGCCGGCTCCTGAACGCCCCACCTGTTCCGCCCCGAAGCGCAAAGCCTCTGTCCACCAGCCCCTCCGTCCCTCCTCGCACAGCCAAGCCGGCGCGGCAGCAGACTCGCTCTCCCAGCCCCACCTTGTCCTACTATTCTTCAGGGCTGCACGACATGTAAGTCCTACCGCCAGAGCCCAGGTCACCACGGTTCCTCTTATCAGCCAGGTCCCCGGTTCTTGAGAACAGTGTCCAGGAGCCGTCATGTAGGGTGGTAGAAGAGGAAATTTTCTTTAAAAAAAAAAAAAATTTTTTTTTTTATAATTTTACTGGAAGAGCTTGATGTGTCCCTGTTGGTTTTGAGCTAGGATGAAAGCACCAGTGACCTAGGAAGATGCAGAATCTGAGGAATTCAGCAGTCAAGGCTAGCATCTGGTTCTCTCCACTTTGGCGTCACACAAGCAGATAGCACCTTCAAGGAGGAAATGGAATTGCAGGGGTCCTGTGGGCTCTCGCACTGAGTTTCCACCCAGCGCCAGGATCCCTTCCTGACCATCACTGTCAGGCAGTCTTCTGCTTCTGTCTGGGTCCTTCCAGTGCCGTGAGCTCATTCCACGGTTGGCACACGCCAATAACTGTTTATAGAAATCTTTCATTACATCCAGTTGAAATCTATCTCCATGTAACTTTCAGCTATTTCTTATGTCTAGAAAAACAAACGTAGGTCTGTCCCGCTTCTCTTGGCCAGCCTGTGAAAACGTGAGGTCAGCTAGGATGGAAGTCTTCTCTTCTCCAAAAGGGACAGCCTCAGTTCCACCAGCTGTCCCCCCGTCACCCACCTCTGAGCACACTCCGTGGTCTCTGTCGCTCTTAAGATGTGGCCCCAGAGCTGAATTCACTACTCCGCGTGTGATCATGACAGGTCAAAGTAGCTCTCCTTCACGTGTCCTTGTGTTCCCTGGACAGTTAAATCTTTATGCTGATGTTACGTGATTGTACAGAAACCAAGGCAAGCATAATTATTGTATTCAAAGCATTTCTTCCAGCCTCAGACTCTTGGCTGGTAATAGGGTCATCAGTGGCAGTAATGTAGTCCTGTCACTGCAGCGAGACACCATTTACTGCTGTCACTCCACCCTTGCCGGCAGCAGACATCACTCATCATCCCCTGTGCCTGTTGGTGATAAGCCCAAACAGGGCTTAAGAATTTGCTTTTCGTGGAAAGGTAGAGAGGGTATAGCTCAACCAGCAGGGTGCATGCTTAGCATGCGTCGAGGTTCTCGGTTCGATCCCCGGTACCTTCGTCAAGTAAATAAGTTAAACCTAATTACCTCCTAAAATAGGTTTTTTTTTCTTGTCTTAAAGATCCAGGCACCCACTAACAATGATGTTCTTGTTCGTTAAATTTATGCTGTTTTGTTTTTTCTATTTGCCATCTCTGCTGTAGCATGTTAAAACCCTGTGTTCATAACTATAATTACCTATTGAGCCTTTGTTTTCACTCATCTCCCTTTCTGTGTTTTGCTTTTGAGCAGCGTCACTAAAAGTGACACGAGCCCCCCCGAAAGTGCTCCCGTTTCCTGCTACCCGTGTCACCGAGTGAAGGCGGATGCCGGGGACCCGAAGTCCCCGTTTGGAAGTCCGTCTGCGGAAGCGCTCTCGTCGCGCCTCTCGTGGCCCAACCATTACTCGGGCTCATCGGAGACCCAGACCAGAAGCGACTTCCTGCTGGACCCCAGCAGGAGTTACAGCTACCCGCGGCAGAAGACGCCAGGCACACCAAAGAGAAACTGCGCGGCGCCCCTCGGTCGGGACGGCTGCGAGCTGGGGGCCAGCCCGCCCCGCGCCGCCGCCGCCGAGCTCAGCGGCAGCGCCCCCGGCTGCCCCAAGTCGGCCAGCTACTCCCTGGAGAGCACGGACGAGAAGGCTGCCGCCGCCGGCCGGGCCAAGCAGAGCGTCTCCTGCCCTGCCTTACCGCCCAGGGCCCCGAAGCCGGTGGAAGAGAAAGCCGCCTCCGAACCTTGTCCTTTGCCTCTGAAAATCGATGGTGCTGAGGAAGAGCCCCAGTCTGGGTCCCCGGACCTCTCCGAGGACCCCTGCTTTGTCCCAAGGGGCCTGCAGGACCTCTTCTCCGTCTCCTACCCCTTCTCCTCCCCGCTGCACCTCCAGCTGGCCCCGCGGTCCTGCGGCGACGGCTCCCCGTGGCAGCCGCCCGCCGACCTGTCGGGACTGTCCATCGAGGAAGTGGCCAAGTCCCTGCGCTTCATCGGCTTGTCCGAAGACGTCATTTCCTTCTTCGTCACCGAAAAGATTGACGGGAATCTGCTGGTTCAGCTCACGGAAGAAATCCTTTCGGAGGATTTCAAATTGAGCAAACTGCAGGTGAAGAAAATCATGCAGTTCATTAACGGCTGGAGGCCCAAAATATAGCCGGATCACCCCGGCTAGCAGTGAGCAGAACTGAAAAGAGTGCGCGCCAGAGGGGGCGGGCTGGGACCCAGGTTCCTGTTTTTTGCACTAAAAACCTTCTCTGTAAATAGGGATAAGAGAAAACTCTTACTATGCAGATTAACGTTTTTGAATGGTGAACAGGCTATTTTGTACATCAATAAAAATGCTGTACAGAACACTTACTTAGAGGTGTGCCTTGTACGTCACTCAACACTCAACAGCTGCTAAAAGACAAAAGGCATGTTCAGAGAAATAATTCTTACCCAAGTAGGTTTATGTGAGAAGGTGATATTTATTTACAAAATAGCCAAAGCTGAATGACATCAGAATCTTTAAAACAAACAAAAAACAAAAAACAAACAACCACTTTTGAACAATTCCCTCCTTTGGGAGAATCATCTTTAGATTATTAACTCTCTCCTGTGCTCTGTTGTTTGGATTGCTCAAATGCTAATGTTTGACTCTTGTGCCTGAAAATGTTAGTGATATGAAATGACACTTCAATGTTATGTGCTCAGTAGGGATCTTTTTATCAAAAGACGTTTTCCAAAAGTCATGTGCTGGTAGAGGATCTGTGACGTCCTTAGAAATAATACAGATCATGACCACAATAATTTACCTGTAACTGCTGCTAATTTTATCAAGCAGAGAAAAAAACAGAATATATACATGTAGGTATATATCTATACACAATACAAACGTATATGTTTTAAACATCATTATGGGCCTGATATTTTAGGTAACATCTGTTCACTTTCAAATATCCACTGAGGTTTGGGGCTGGTAATTAACTAAGCTGACTCTTTGAGGAAGAGTGGACAGAATGATTCCAAAGATTCTCATAACCCTGTCCCTCGGAGCGCAGTTTTTCAGACTTTGTCATGGCAAACTTGGAACAAATCAGTACAGAGTCTGTAGTGAAGAATTAAATTTGATTTTAAACCTATTATAGGCTGAGTTTTGCATAGAATATCCCCATGCCGATGTCTGGGGAAATGACAGTTTCTGCCGAGTGATAATTCTCCTCTGGTTTAAGGGTCTTATTCTCCTGGTGTCTGATGGTGAGGGGTCTGGAGAGCGGTTCTCAGAGCCTGTTAGGTGTTCACAACGTGCTTGGTGTTTCAGGAGAGCTCAGAAATCAGATGCACCATCTTCTGTTATTAGCTGTGCTACATCTGTCGAGTAATTTTTAAAGTATCAGTGGGAGGTACTTGTTTAGTTCATACACCTCTTCTTCCCTCTCTTCCGAAGAAGATACATGAATGCTATACTTCATTCCAAGAATCTCAGGACCCAGTCTGACAGTTTTTGCCAAACATGATTAAATATTCCAAAATATAATAGCATCAACATTGTTCTTGACTTTTTAAAGGAATATAAATCGTAGACAAGTTTTAGTTCTCTGAGCAGGGTATCACCCATAGCCTTGCCTCCCCCTGCGGAGTCTGTCCCCACAATCCGGAGGTACAGACAGCCAACCAGGTGTCAGCATGACTTGCAGGACTGACCCGTAGGTTATTTGTCCTTCCTGCTCACCAAAATAAATACCCAGTTGTAAAGACAAGACCCACCAGTCTAGTTTTGCAGACCTGTTTGGTATGGCTTCATTTCTCAGCATTAAAGATATTTTTAATCCAGCTCATTGTTTAGAATTCAGGTGAATTGATACCTATTCTCATTTTCCGTCTTAAATCTTTTTTTTTAAAGGCATTTTCCCCCAACGTATCTCCAAAAGTGTAAATACTATACTCTAGGTTAGAAATGCCCCCATAAACAGAGTACCCCATAAAACTTGTCCAAATCGGGTACCTCTTCAAAAGTAACTGACAGATCTATGGAGAAGCTTCTGGTACTGGACTCCATGACTCGCATGCTAAGAAAGCATCCTTCTATGTGAGGGGCAACTCCCTTAGTAAAGTTAACCTCTCAGAACTTTCCTTTAAAATAAAAACAGATATGGTTGAAAAGTTGCAAGGTTTCTTTGGCAAAACTTTGCTGAATCCGGTTATGAATACTTAGCCCTTGGACACAATTCTCAAATTCCAGAGAGGAACAGGGTTGGCTTGAGTTTCCTATCAAGGTTGCCCCACATAAACAGCTGATTACTTTTATCTTTTTTCTTTTCACTTTTTCTTTCGTAAGAACTTGACACAAGGTCATTTCTATTTTTTGTCTTGGCGTATGGATGTTGGGTTTATATTGGTGGCAGTGTGGGGACTCCTGAGGACAAGGACTATGGCCTTTCATTCACGTACTCGAAATTCACTGAGCACCTTCTTTGCGCTGGGCATTAAGCTGGCACGACTTGCCGGTGCTGGAAAAAAAGACACAGTTCTCTTGGAACTCATAATGTTTATATTTTAAATCACAGTTGTTGAGACTGGGGATGTGTAAGAGAGACGTGAAATCTTCTGGGCAGTTGGATGTTAAGTCGGAGAGTTAAGTGTGGACTTTCAGGAATCCACAGACGAAGAAATAGTATCCTCTATTAAAGGGATAAAAGAAACACCATAAGACCATTAAAACTTGGAAAAGTGTCAGAAGCAGGAAATATCTCTAATGCCCAGTGGCTAGTGTTCTTTTTTACTGATTGGAATTTTTAAAATTGGTAATAAATATCTTCTGGCATGTCTAAAGTCACACTGCACCCTGATCGATAGCGCAGGCGTAGTCAGAGAATGATGATGAGAAACACCACATGGGGAGAGAGCGAACAGCCTTTCCCTTCTGAGAGCTGTGTTTTGCAGCAAAAAGCGGTGGATAGAGATCCCCGCAGGCAGAACCTTTTCTAACCAACCAGGCCATCTGGCAGCTTCCCTGCAGTCTGTGTACTGACCCCTGTGCTTGGGAGAAAGTGTCCAAACAGGACTTTTCTGGGTCCTTAAGTTCACGGCTAAAACCATGTTGACCCCCATCAGAAAAAATCAGCAATAAACCAAACCAAGCAGCTGAAATGTAAAATGTGGACCCAACTCATGTTGGGAGCGAGAACTCAAAACACTCAGATCAATTCCTTCTCAGAATCTCGTAAACGCCTGCAAGTTCTCTCTTTTCAGTTGAGCTGCTCAACTTTATGAACTGTGAAATTTACATTTAGACGCTTTGAACCCACATACACCATTCAGGCTTATGAAGTTGCAGCGAGCTGCCCATTCGACTAAATTGCAGTGTTTATTCTTGTCTCATGTAGAAATGAAACGACGATCTTACGGGGAAATGTTATGACTGTTCATTCCAACTGTTTTCCAACATGTGTGTAAACGCCCTCTGCTCACATTCCAGAACCACCTACACATCGTCCACACGGCTCCTCCAGACGTTCAGCGGGGGGGGGGGGGGATCAACTGAGGGTCCTTCATTTTTCCAAACAGTTTGTGTAATGCATCGCTGCTCATCATGCCTAAAGAGTGTGAAATTAACGTTTTGAATAATAAACTGGAAAATGAGACAGTTCTCCCAAGACCCTTGGGAACTGTTCAAAGAAAATTCCAACGTCAGTCCACCAGAAAAGTGAAGTGTGCTGTTGGGCACACAAGACCTTCAAAAACTATGACCATTATATCAATTCCCACTCTTTCTAGTAGCAGGAAGGCACCAGGCTGCTAGGGCTAAGAAAAGTAAAATGCCCAGGATGCCAATGATGGAAAGTAAGACTGTTATACTGTGGGCTTGTAACGTGGTGGAATTCTTACGGCCACTTCTCATTGAATCACATCATTTCGTCTTCAAAACATGGTGTTTTAAAATGTGTCTCATTGTGAAAGCCAAAAACAAAGGGTAAACGTGATTCCTGTTAAAACTAGGTAACAATATCTTCTGTCATTTTGCTGCTCTGTCGAATTTTTAGGCTATGAATTTTGTAATGAGCTTATCAGAGGACGAATTTCCTTCATTTACAATCTCATGTCATAGGGCTCGGATCACCTCTCAGCTATAAACCCCTTCTCCCACTTTCATATGAAGTTCCATTTAAAATAAAGCCTAGAAATTGAACTCACGTAATCAAACATTTGGGAGTTTTCCTCGACTTCTATAAAAGTGGTATATTCTTTTCCAAGGATTTTGTAACCATCTTTACAGTCTCTTTGCTTGGAAAACTGGGGTTGTTCACTACCAGTTAACAGTTGCATTATTTCCAGAGCATTATCCATGGGCCCATTGTGTACCTCAAGATAAACATGGTATGTTATGTCTAAAACAAAAACTGTTGTTGATTTAAATGGTTCTGAAATGTCTATAAATAAAATGTTAAAAATTGCTCTTCTTGTAATCATTCCTCAGTGAGTAGGACCTAGTGCAGAGTTTTCTAGACCTTTTCTTTCCCATCCTCATGAAGAAGAAAATTTGTCTGAAGGACTGTGAAGACTGCAAAGCCACTCCACATTAACAAGAGAGTGAAGACATGGCTATCACAAATGGAAGAAACTGGCATCCAGGTCACCTGATGGCATTCAAAGAGAATCTAGTGCCTGTGTGATCAGCAGTTAGGACGAAAGGCAAATAGAGATGGACTATAGGTGAGCTTTAAAAAATTAAATTAAGGGGAAGAGGGATAAATTACAAACTTGGGATTAAGAGATACACACTATTATATATAAAATAGATAAACAACAAAGACCTACTGAACAGCACAGGGAACTATATTCAATATCTTGTAATAACTTATGATGGGAAAGAATCTGAAGGTATATATATAACTGAATCAGTTTGTTGTACGTCTGAAACTAACAATGTAAATCAACTACAATTAAAGTTTTTTAATTTTAAATAATTACACGTGTTTGTATAGAGAAAAGAAAGATAACAGAAATTCGTATCTCTTTGGCTTATGTATAGTTTAATTGATGTAATTACAGTTAGCGTAACAGTGAGCAGAAGTGGTCGGGGGCACTAGAGCAAGCCACGAGCAAGCGTTCAGCACACTGCAGCAGCCACCTGTAAGTTTTACAGAGACGTTGGCAAGTGGAGGTTCGTTAAGAGAGCTTTTATTGTATTCAAAATAGCATGAAATTGTTTCAAACCATCTTACTGAGGGCTCTGGGGGAGGGTTGAAGGGCTGGCTTATGTCTTCACTGTTATATCTTCAAAAGTAATGCTACTCGGGGTGCTACTGAGTGACCCTACGAATGCCATCAGGTTCCTGGTGGCCATCAGCCTTTGTGCCATCAAGATCAAGACCCTGCAGCCTGCAGGATAACAAGCAAAGAGAAGTCAAAAGAATGACAAATTAAATCTGTATTCATCATAAAATCTCTAAGGAGACTAAAAGAGAGCAAGATATGAACTTGTTTATAGAGATCTCAGATTGAGTCTGCATCCATTGCCGATGAATAAATTTTTCTTCTAACAGTTTAATTAGGCCAAAAGTTCAGTTTTTTAATGGGTATAAAGTGAACTAGAAAAGATCAGTGTGTTTCTGTAGGTTGACTCAGATATTGGCTCTAAGAGACACAGGCAATTGAGGAGTGGTAGATACGGTTGAGTGACCTAAGCTAAGAGTGATATCAGGACCAGAGCCAGTGATGGATAGAGATAAACGGTTTCTTTGTGCTCGGAAGCACAGCTGGGGAGGAGATATTGTGCAGGACATAGGAAATACTATCCGTGGGCTGATGACAGAAGTTTAGAGCCAGAGGAAATGATCTGGTCCAATCCCCTAACTTTATAAGAATGAAATCCTTGGAGGGTAAATGACGACCCCCCCCCCAGATTGCCTACATTTTGTGACAGAACCAAAGCTAGAATCAAAATCTGTTTCCCCCTTTTTGTATTCATTCCACTACAACACTGTCTCCCAATTTCCTCAACTTTTAACTTTTAAAAATGACACTTACTGATTTTCTTCAGCACATGGAAGACCCTACCCTGGTCCTCCAACTTCCTTTCTTTCTTCTGAGGCTAAAAATAGTTGATCTTGAACTGACATTCCTAGTCAGTTTTAGCTGGAAATCAAAAGAAACCTCCCTTGCTTATAAAATGGAGACTCTGCGCATGTCTCCTGCTTTTTGATCAAGAGCGATGACTCAGTGGAGATACTGAGATGGTGTAAGACGAAAAAATGTTTAAAAACAAAAAATCCACACGTAGCATACACGCAATTCATCCCACCGTATACATGGTGTCTCCAGGAAGAGTACAGACTCGGGCACATACGTGGAGAGGTAGGTGTAGTACTAAACATGGCCACAGGAGGTCGGGCTTTCCCAACCAGCTAATTGTCCACCGATTGCTCGTCAACTCGATGAGTTCAGGATTAGTAGAGATAAATTTTAAATCCAGCCATGTTGGTGGTCTCTATATTCCATTAATCACTTTTCCACTTTCATTAGCTATCCAAAGGCATTTGAACCCTAAAGTTAGATAAACAGATAGAAGTGGCTCAAAAAAGACAAGGAATTCAAAAGTGGGGCATGGTACAGTTTTTTCAAGCCATATTTCCACTAAGAAGAGGAGAGAGAGATTCTCAAATTGCAAAACTGACCTGCCAGATACCTTGCTCCTTCTGGGTCCTGAGTCTCTGGAATTTTGAAAGTCACTGGTGCAAATCAGAAGCTCTTGCATAAAGAAAGTTGTGCTTTTTTTTTTTTTTAATTCCATTGATTCGTTTTTTCAGTAACAAAAACCCTCAACCAAAACCAAAATTTATCAAGTATCTTTACACTGCAGTTGACTTTCACGGGAGGGTATATCTCAAGTGGTATGCGCGAGGCCCTGGGGTCCACCTCCAGCACCTCTATTAAAAAAGAATCATATCTATCAAAATTTATCAAATTGTACATCTGAAATATGTGGTTTATTATACAGAAATTATACCACAATAAAGTTGTTTTAAAAAAAATAATTAAATGAACTTAATTACCTCCACCCCTTCCCGCAAAAAAGCATTAAAAAAAATAAATGAAGTTGACTTTCAAGTGAGGATTGAGAAAGTACATTTCTCTCAATCCTCCTCCACCTTAACAATCAAACCATGAATATCCCTAATTGATCCTGGAAGGGAAAACAAAGAAAAGATGGATTCTAACAAAGAGAACGTCAAACTTCAGTTCTGGAGTAACTACATTTATGCTTCATTCTCTGTGCTTCTTACCACTGCCAGTTTTTGACAAAAGGGTCTCTTTTCAACCCAGCTTTTAAGGAGATGACTGACTTTCCGAATCCAGCAAACTATCAGTAATTTCAATTTAATTTCAGTTGAAATTTCAGTTTCAGAGTTTAGGTTGCCATCTTGAAATAGTACAATTACCAATTAAAGTTTTCATATAACCATACTTACCTGTTGTTATCAGATTTCAGTGATTCGTGGATCCCATGGGAAAATGGGGTTATTCTGAGAGTGGTCACCGGAACACTGTCCTTCACGTTGTGAAATGGTTGATTATCCTGGTTCCATGTTTCTGTTTATGTTACTCCCGTCCTACACAAGAAGGGCCCTCACTTTAGGTCCCTGGTCTTCGTGAAGACAGTAGACTTACGCTGGTTCTACACGTGCATCCTATTCGCCCTGCCTGAAGTTGAAAAGTCTAACCATGTAAATTATCACTGAAGCAAAACCGGAAACCAGGATGGCCCCCATCTCGCAAGGTGAGGAACAGTGTTTGTGTGACCTGTGCTCCACTCTGAACAATCTCATTTTCCCACAGGATTCACCGATCACTGAAATACGATGAAAAGAGGTACGCGTGGTGCACGCTGCGTACACCAGGTGTCTGGGGCACATTTGAAGGTAGTAAGGTCTCCCTGTATTTGTCATCCTGGATGATGGAAAGATGTGGAAGTTATTCGTGCTGGCAGACGACCTGTGGGAAAACCACTTATTACAGTAACATGAGGTACTGGCATCCATGCGTTGGTTAATAATTGATAGCTCATTTGGAAGGTTCCAATAACTAACTTACCTTTCACAGATAACAACAGCAGCAGAACATTTTGAAATATGGAATGGGAAAATGAAGCACACGTTTCCTTACTCGGTTAGCCATTAGGTACGTTATTATTTAACCCAGGCTGGCTTCTCTGAGAGAGGTGTGTTTGTTTTTTGGTTTCTTTGTTTTTGGGGGGTTTTTTGCTTTACCATATTGCCAATATTGGTCATTTTTAGAGCATCCATCTCTGTCCATTGGCTCCGTCCCCTCCTGACTGTCATTCAGTGTCAGTGTTAGGAAGAGGGTAAAGAAATCAGTAGTTGTTGCTAGAGATGAGCAGGTGATGCCGGCTTGCCCCCAGCAATCCTAACACCCTGCTTCCAGGCTGCGGGTTATCCCTTTGCAGACCCGGTGTCTCCCGTCCTGACTCAGCTGCAGGCCTCGGTCGTCCCTGGAATGAAGCGCCCCACCTGCCCTGCCCTCCACCCCCCGTCTGGGTTTCTTCTCCCACCTCTTTCCCTGACTTCTTGGATCTCCACCCAGACTTAGCCCAAATTTCACATTTCCCCGAACTCCCTTTTTGCTCCCTTTCTACCAGCCCATTCTGATGCCTGAAAACATTCTCTAACCTGATTTTCATAAACATGTTCTTACTCACAGCCTGAGCCGTCCAGGGGAACCACCGTGGAGGGACTGGACGGATCTCGCAGGCAGGTGGGAGGAGGAAGGGCGGCTGGCGTGCGGCTGTCTGGTTTGTTAATTGAAGTAATTTGCGGAACCGGCCTCCTGTCATTCTCAAGCAGTAAAAATTTGCCTTTCCCTTACTAGCCGCCTGAATGCTGAAGACACGGCTGAAAGTACTTTTCGTATCAATCAAATGTTGATCAGCTGGCCCGTCACCCTCTGGCATGCCTCTGACCGATTCCCAGGGTGTTTAGAAGACAGGGTGGCTCGTTTCCTCTGAGGTTGACAAACACCCAGTTATTCTCTGATTCTGAGCCCTGGCACCGCACCCAGACGGTCATGGCCACCGGGTCACTTCCTGTTACCTGTCATAACCTGGAGCTCCCGGGCACGGCTTCTGATTCCACAGCCGGTCCTGCAATCAGGCTCCTCTTGAGATGTGCATATAGTCTTCTCTTGTCCTTCTGGAGAGGTTCTGTGTGCAGCTGCTCCATCAATGAGAGGGACAGAGGTGCTCCCTTACAGTCCGGTATCCAGCAGGTGTATACCCTCACACCCACACCTCTGCCGCAGACAAACATCCTCTCGAAGACTCACAATCTAAACCCATGAGGAGATGGACCCAATATGGAGCCACAGACCTCTGCATCACTGCACCCTCAGCTGCACAGACGCACAGCGGGAGCCTGGAGATGTCACCCATACAGG